GGTATCACCTCAGCAGGCCCCATCCCAGCCCCTTATCAATCCACATCCTTCCTCAGGTTCTGCTCTGTGGGCACTTAGTGGTTGTAGCAAAGCAGCTGCCGTTAATCTCTTAAAAATGCTACCGCTGTGTTTAAGATTTCTAGGAAGTGATGTGTTGGTAGAAGGTAAGGGTAATTAATACCTGTGTGAAACACATCAGGGAGCAATTGGGAAAAGTCCAGACATGTCCCACCTGGAGTACTGTGTCCAGCTCTGGAGGCCTTCAGCACAGAAAAGACATGGACCTGCTGGTGCAGATCCAGGAGGGGCCACAACAATGATCAGACGGATGGAACACCTCTCCTATGAAAAAAAGGCTGAGAAAGTTGGGGTTGTCCAGCCTGGAGAAGAGAAGGCTTCAGGGAGACTCTGTTGTGACCTTTCAATACTTAAAGGGGGCCTATAAGATGAGGACAAACTTTTTAGCAGGTCCTGTGGCAATAGGACAAGGGGTGATGGTTTTAAACTAAAAGAGTGTAGATTCAGACTACATGTAATGAATAATTTTTTTAAAGGAGGGTACTGAAGCACTGGCACAGGTTGCCCAGAGAGGTGGTAGAAGCCCCATCCCTGGAAATATTCAAGATCAGGTTGGATGGGGCTCTGAGCAACCTGATCTAGTTGAAGATGTCCCTGCTCAGTGCAGGAGGGTTGGACTAGATGATCTTCAAAGGTCCCTTCCAACCCAAACCATTCTTTGACCTTGTGAATAGGTGAGAGTTTAGATCTGATGCGGAGCCCTCCAGTCACCCCCATCACTTGGATCAGATGTGTTAACATACACCCTTCTAAGGAAAATACCTTTTTATATCTTTAAAAATATTTCATCCATAGCAAGTGAAAGGTGATTGGAAAGATGGATTTCTTTGTTGTTTTTTATTTTCCTAAAAACTTTGCAAAGGCTGGATGTGCTTGTGCTGCTAGTGACCTGGGGGAGAACAGGGTGGTGCTTGTGCAGGTCATGCCCAGCTAAGACATGACCAGCAGTGCTTTTTCCCCACAAAGTGCAAATGGCAGAGTGATAGGTGTGTAACTGCCTTCATTTTGCCTACTTCAGTAAATCAACTCCTGCACTGTACTGAGAGGAAGAGGAGAGCAGAGCAGGAGCTAGGGCAGTAGATTTCAGTAGCCCACTGGAAATCAGGGGTCTTGGGTTCTTTTCTTTACCCCCTTACAGATATGCTGAGTGACATTCTGTGCCTTAATTTCCTCCTGTGCAGAATTGTGTGTTTATGTGTGAGGGTGCCTTCAGAGTTGGCCCTGGAGAGAAATTACTTGGACAAACTGGTAGTGTTTCAGCAAGGTGTGTTTAGGAGTGGCACAGTCCCTGTGCACTTGGCAAGGATGACCTCATCCCTTTTTACTTTCTGTTTCATTTCTCATTTTCTTCCATGTTGTCACTGTTGGAGAAACAAAACAAAAAAACTTGCTTATAGGAAACAGCCCAGTTACACGGAGGCAGCCAGGGGCTCGTGACTATATCTGGCCCTCAGCTGCTTCTCCTCTGTCTTCTGTTCTGCAGCTTTGTCTGCCCTGTCGTTACTGGAGGGCAGTGGCAGGGCCTCCAGCTCTTACAGATTAATTAGTCACCTTGGCTTCCCACAGTCCGCTTCTGTGGCCGTAAGGGTGAAAGCTGGCAGTGAAGAGTTGCAGAAGGACTTTGTGAGGGTGAGTGATTTGACTATAAAATAGCGGGTGAAAATGTAAAATAAGTGGAAGATGGTGCATGTTGGAGCAGCAATCTTAACGCTGATGTCCTCCGTACTACCTGATACCATCTGGGAAAGAGATCTAGGGGACTGCATCTGGAATATTGTCTCCAGTTCTGGGCCCCACAGTTCAGGAAGGACAGGGAACTGCTTGAGAGAGTCCAGCGCAGAGCCACCAAGATGATTAAGGGAGTGGAGCATCTTCCTTATAAGGAAAGGCTGAGGGAGCTGGGTCTCTTTAGCTTGGAGAAGAGGAGACTGAGGGGTGACCTCATTAATGTTTATAAATATGTAAAGAGCGAATGTCAGGAGGATGGAGCCAGGCTCTTCTCAGTGATGCCCAACAATAGGACAAGGGGCAATGGGTGTGAGCTGGAACACAGGAGGTTCCGCTTAAACTTGAGAAGAAACTTCTTTACAGTGAGGGTGACAGAGCACTGGAACAGGCTGCCCAGGGAGGTTGTGGAGTCTCCTTCTCTGGAGACATTCAAGACCCGCCTGGACGCCTTCCTGTGTGATCTCATTTAGGTTCCTGCTCCGGCAGGGGGATTGGACTAGATGATCTTTCGAGGTCCCTTCCAATCCCTGACATTCTGTGATTCTGTGTGATTCTGTGACTGACTACAATATGTAGTTCTGTGAAAGTGTCAGGGCTGTGCTCAGAAGCAGTCCAAAATGTGAATTAAACATTAAGAATTGTTAAGAAAACAATAGAGAAAAATACAGAGCACCGTTGTGACTTTGTATTGTAGATGGTAGCTCAGCCTTTTGAAGGTTGTCTGCTCCTCTTGGAATATAGCAGCAGTAGAGAAGAGATTGAGAAGTGGCAGAGGTGATCAAAGATGTGGAGCAAGAAACAAATAAATAGTTTCAGGTTCTTCAACTTGAAAAAGAGTAGAAAGAATATCAGATCTATCCTGTCAGGAGCATTACTGGAAGAGCTGGGTATGGAACCATTTCTTGACTCTTCAGACAAATCATGGGGTGTCAAATGGAACCTGTGAGCAGCAGGCTTAAGACCTGTGAAAGCAAGGGGTTGTTGAGGTGAAATGTAATGAAACTGGAACTGGAACCACGTCCTTACCCTCTGCCCTCTCCTTTGGGAGCAGCCAGCCGGGTCCATTGCCCCGTTTAGCTCCGTATCCTGTCCCTACAGACGAGCCTGGGGCTGAAGCAGCGCTCCTGTGGGGACAGAGACTGAGCTGAGCAGAGCAGCATTTACAGGCTCGCTGCTTCTGCAGTGAGGAACGGCCAAGAGCTGTCCTCCCACCCCCTCAGGGTTCCTGCAGAGGCACTGGAGGAGCCCAAAGGCTGACTGTGACTGAGTATCCTCTGTTCTCCTGCAGCACCAGGATTTATCCTGAGCCTGTAAGAACACCAGGAACTGTAGACTCCACCTTTAGCCTCTTCCTCACGACATTCCCAGAGGCCCGGGAGCTGGATCCTCTGACTGGGCCTGAGCAGGGCCTATGTATCTGCATCAATTCCAGGTATTAGCTTCCTGCAGAGAACTTATTCCTGAGTTCTAGACCATTCAGACTCCAAAAGCTCACTCAAAGCTTATTCTGCTTTTTAATTTCTTTCAGTCTTTGTTTTCTGTTCTATCAGTAATATTTCTATTTCTGTCAATTTCTGTTTATTTAATACTTAAGTTCTAAGGCTGAAGTGTATAGCTGGATGTTAGAAATCAGTCTCTACCCTACCTTGCTGGCGAGAGATAGAAGGATGGGGAAGAAAAAAACCCAAACAACGAAGAAACAGATGTGTGTGGAGGCAAAGTGACTTGTTGTGATTAAGTAAATTCTCAGTGTCAGAACCAGAGCGGGGATTAGAAAGAAAATCTTTCTACGAGTGTTCTTATCTCTTGAGATGACACCCTCCACTTTATGGAAGGGAGATGGGAACTAATGAAAACACAGGTGGGCTGTTAAAAACCACAGAAAGGTTGCAAGATTTGCTGGCTTGTGAGATTTCCTGTCTGTTCTGTACTTGGACCTTACTGCCTCTCTCTCAATAAAACAATTTAACTTCAAATCTTCTCATTGCTTAAAAGTAAAAGCAGTCTTTTCTCACCCTTACGTCGCAGGAGTTTGTGCTGTCAGAGGTGACGTGTCCAGCAAAGGGCAGTTTGGAGTATCACACCTAGTAGGAGTGGGAAATTGCTGAAGATTTCTGCAGTGGACTTGCACGGAACCAACAGACAAAGTAAAACTTCTGCTACTAATGTGTTGTGTGATGCTCTAAAGTACTGGTGGGGGATGCAGGGAAAGGCTTACCCAGGAGCATTTAAGACTGTTTCATGAAATAAGTAGCTGGCCTTAAAATTTTGCACCTGCTGAGGGAAAAGAGCGTCTGTGTGAAGAAGAACAATTAAGACTTGAGTGGATATGGCCAGAAAAAGAGAACAGATGTCTATGGGGCAAATCCCAGAGTACAGAGAAAATTGTGTCGCTCCTGTTAGTGCTCCACCTCATTGAGAGAGAATGTTCAACTATCTTGTTTCAGGCTGTGTCTTCTGCCCCATTTCACTTGCAAGCCTCTCCATGCTTCTTTGCTACATCCTTGTTACAGTAAGGAATTAATGTTTCTTCCTTGTTTTCTGTGAACTCCTGGAAGGCACAGGAGAAGTTTGGGGACAGCTATTTTTCTCTCCTCAGTTGACTTGCAGACCCACATGTGGCAGAACTAGCTTAGAAAAAGCACTGCTTGAATGATCGACCTCCAGATAAAAGGGGTTTCACGTCTAGGGCATGACTTGCTCCCTGCTCTTGGGCCTCTTGTTGGAGCAGATATTGCCAAGCAAGCTTGAAAGCTTTGTATCACCCCCCATGACTTGTTAGTGACTTTCCAAGAGGAAATAAACCAATTTTCCTCCTGCTCTAACTGCTGGAGCTCCTGGGAGCTGGTTTCCATCCCACCACTGTCCCAAGAGTGGGTTTTGCCTATTCTACTAGAAGTTGGTGGAGGAGCAAAGCGCCAGGGTTCTGGGGATGGGTGTAGGTGAAGGAGCAGTTAGAAGACAGGTGCTAAAAAGCTCTGTTTTCCTCTGTTGGTCCTGTTTGGCGTATGATAGTTGCATCAGTTGCTTTGTGTTTCGTCCCAGGTTTCCTGCTCTAGGTGTTTCCAGATAATGGCGAAGATGGTGAGAAGAACATGTGCTTTTTGTTCAGAAGGGGAGGCCGGTTCCGTGATGTACATTGCCAAAGAGCGGAATATTGCAGCTCATCAGGATTGTCTGGTGAGTGGCTTTTGGTTGGTTGGTACCTAAGAGGAGTAGAGAAGAAGAGCTAAAGGGGAAGTTTCCACTGCTTGTCTGTTTTTGACTCTAAAATGTTGATTACACAAACCAGCAAGCTTAGATTAGATTGAAAAGCTATGAAAAGCAACAGGGCTTGGCCAGAATTTTGGAGGGGGGGAGGACACCGCTTTGCAGCTGGACACGTTGATTTGTGGTGTTTTCATGCATGTCTGGTTCCAGACACAGGTACAGTCTAGCAGTAGGAATAGATCTACCTGAGACATTGAACTGAATGAGGCTTTGGAGACCACAGAAGCTGTGTACTTAAACCTTTGCAGGAAAATATTCACATCACTTTATATGTCAAGGTAAAAAACTTCCCAGTCTGTGCCTCATATAAAACAAAGAATAAAAATATCAGAAGTCGATTAGATAAAAATATCTGTAAAGCTCTAAGTGTGCTGTGATCCCAGAATGTATTTACTCTTCTTGTTATCAAAATGCCTCCCCTTTATTCTGGGATCTTGGTGGAGCTGGTTCTTGGTGTGCTGAATCAAGCACAGATGCCATATTCTCCCTTCAGTGAGGGTTGCTTAGTGCAGATTGCTGCTGCTGTAGCAGCTTTCTGGCTTTCCCTGTTCCAGCCTTCTTATTCTTGCAGGTTTTATGTTGATACTTTTTCTCTCTTCCCCTTCCCCTCCCCCAACAACTTCACTGATTTCTGTGCCTCAGGCTTCTCTGTGCTGTTTGGGTTTTTTGCAGTCAGCTATCACCTTCTGAGCAGACAGACTGTGCCTGCCAGCTGACGTCAGCGTAGCTCATTTTTGTTTGGAATTAGAAAAAAGTTGCTAAGGACTTCCACTTCCTCACTTATTGTCATGGCTCAGCACTTCTGTGGGAGTCAAAGTGGCCCAAATATGCACATGTATGTTTTCTGAGGGTTTCTCTCGGGCTTTGTACCATGTTCCTAATGTTTCTCCTGCAGTCAACTGTTGTCAGTATTGGACTGTATGGAAATGTTGTTACAGAGAAATGTTGCATCCAGCTGCAATGCTGAACAGCTGACCATTTAACAAGATGTTCAAGGTGTGGAGGTCTCTCAGACAAAGAGCTTTTCCTCCTTACTCTGGGCAGCCTGGACTTCCAGACTTTCTTCATTCACACTTTTTGCTAAGTTCAGTTTCTCACCTTGTTATCTTTTCTTAGTTTACCTTCAGGTCATATGAAATCTCCTGTATAGACAGAGGAACTTCTTTTGACTGGGAAAAGGTTTAAGCGCAGCTCCTTGTTCAGTGTAGGTGAAACCTCTTAAAAACACAGAGAAAAATGAGCCTTTCTTAGGGAGGGCAAGTGCAAGAAAAGATGTGCCCTTCCTCTCTTTTTTCTGGAATGCACTGAAACTGAGTCCCTCTATTAATTCTTAATATCATCTCTTTTTGGTTTTAGTTATTTTCCTCAGGATTTGTGGAATCTGAAGAGTATAACCCAGATAATCTGGATATAAGGTTTGATGTGGCATCAGTGTTAAAAGAACTCAAGAGAGGAAAGCGGCTGGTAAGGAGATTCTTTCTGAATCTGCACCTAGTCCTGTCTCATAGTACTGAAGGTTGTGTGGCCTGTTTCATGCTTAGAAAAAAATGCAGAAAAGTGCTTTGTCCTTCTCTTCTACTAAGATTAGAGAAATTACAGATTTAGAGTTAGAAATACTGATTTTATTCTATATTTGGTGAAATTTAGTTCATTTTGTATTAAAATGTGTTGATTTTTCTGGCTTTCCTCCCCCCAAGAGACTAAGTCCTTAGTCTAAGTTTCCTGAGAGACTTTGGTAAAGGACTAAGATAGTTCCTGAAATGAAATTATGCAATCTGTAAGTGTAAAGGGAAGCACCTTCTGGGTGCAGCAGAAGGAAGGTTATTTATATGAGGTTTTTCTTACTGGCTTTGTCCTCAGCTGCCCTTCTCCTTTACCTCCTGGCTGGAACTCTTTTCATGATAAAGTTAGCCTGGAAAACATAAATACAAGCAGTAACACCAATAGGTATTGAAATAACTTGGGCAAGATTTAAGGGACTTGGGTAAGTTGCCCAGTGCACTCACGTGGCTCTTTGCATCATTTTACAAATTCAGCAGTATGAAGTAGAGCTAAAAATAGCAAAACTGGTAACTGAAATAATGGCCAGGGCAGGAGTTTGCAGGAGTGAACTTGCCTGATTAGTTACACAGGGGCGACACAAGACAGACACGGACCTGTTAGAGTGAGTCCAGAGGAGGCCACCAGGATGATCCGAGGGCTGGAGCACCTCTCCTAAGAGGACAGGCTGAAAGAGTTGGGGTTGTTCAGCCTGGAAAGGAGAAGGCTCAGGGGAGATCTTATAGCGGCTTTCCAGTACCTGAAGGGGCCTACAGGGAAGCTGGGAAGGGACTTTTTATAAGGGCAGTTAATGACAGAACAAGGGGAAATGGCCTTACAGTGAAAGAGGGGAGGTTTAGATGAGGTATTGGGAAGAAATTCTTTCCTGTGAGGGTGGTGAGACACTGGAACAGGTTGCCCAGAGAAGCTGTGGATGCCCCCTCCCTGGAAGTGTTCAAGGCCAGGTTGGATGAGGCTTTGAGCAACCTGGTCTAGTGGAAGGTGTCCCTGCTGATGGCAGGGGGATTGGAACTAGATGATCTTTAAGGTCCCTTCCAACCCAAACTATTCTATGATTCTATGCCTTGCAATTAAAGATTTCATTTTCCCACAGAGGAGAGTATTTGCCTGGTGTGGCGAGGTTTTCAGTAGCTGTCTGTGATGCTCACCTGCTAAACCTCATCCTCTTCTAGGTGTGCAACTTCTGTCGCAAGAAAGGAGCCACCGTGGGATGCGAGGAGAGAGCCTGTCGCAGAAGTTATCACTACTTCTGTGCACTCTGCGATGATGCAGCAATAGAAACAGATGAAGTAAATGGAGTCTACCGGTATTTAACCAAATATTTTCTAACTAATTATTGTTAAGGTTTTGGTGGTGGTGTCAGGAAGAGAGACTTCAAAATTGTGTGGTTAAAAGTTTTTTTTAAAAAGGAAATACTATTCTCTTAAAGTGATGCTTGATCCTCTGTTCACAAGCAACAGGGGAAATGTTTTCCTTTCACAGGAAAACATCACAGCAGTGGGAAGGAATCTATTCAGTGTCTGAGCCTGCAACACACCTGAAAGATCACTAGGCCAAAGCTGAGGAAGTCAGTTCTTACTGGCTATCTAGTTAGTCTTCAAGGACCACGATTTTTATTCTTTTCACTCAAATTCTCAGTTTCTGTTGATTCAGAAGCTTCGGCGAGTGTGGTCTGAGCACAGAGGCGCTATAGCAATTTTAGGTCTGTTCACTTTAGACAAATTCTGGTATTTTTCCCCTTCATATGCTAGCAGAGAACTTTGTATTCCCACCAAAAACCTTCTTGTATTTCAAGTATGTTGCTAGCATTAACACAATTAAACAGACTTTAAGTAAGTTTTCTGTTCTGATCATGCTAGTCCTGGTGCCTGCTGCCCTCAGGCTGCCTGCGTTGCCATTAGTAGATAGAACGAGTTGTTTGGAGGATGCAGATGAAGGGGTAGAGAAATTAGGACTTTAGAGACCTTTTGGAGTGCTAAAGTTACAGTAAAATCTGAGGTGCATAAACCCCTGATGTCCTTGCACAGGCAAGGCCAGAGAGATCACAGCCATTGTTAGTCTTAGATTAATCTGGTAGACCATCTAATCACTGCTTGTTTCAGGAAGAGGTGGGCTAGTGCAATCCTTAGCAGCAGTGGAAGATGGGTCCTTTGTGTCAAAACACTCGCACATGTGGCTGCTTCACTAGGGCTCTCAGTCCAAAGTAAATAAGTCTTTCTGCAAGGCTGTAAGCCCAGCTGTATAGAAAAGATATGTTCAGTGTATGCTTATAAAGTCTTCAGGATTCTTCAAAGCTCACAAAAATATAGCTGAGAAGACGTAAACTTTCCATGATCACAGAATAAATGGCTCTCATCATATAGCTTTAGAAAGGATACCTCAGGCTGAAGAGGACTGAACTTCTCAAGATGTTGAAGAATGAACAGGACTGATAAGTCTAGATAGAAACTGGTAAAGAAGTGGTTGAATATAGAGTTTGATTTGATGGTTTTCTGGTGTTTGGAATAGGGACCCTTAAAAATGGCTTGCATTAAGTCACTGTGCGAGACCAGTTGCCTGTCCTGTATAGAAACAAAGGAAACTGGGCTATAGCCACCTGTGCTGAAAAGATGAAAAAGGACTGGATTAGAGAAAGATGGTGAGGCAGGTTTCAGGGATTTGAACCCAAACACTTTTGCACAGTATCAGTGGCATAAACAAAGCACATGGTGAAATGTAACTTATTGAAAAGCATATCAAAAGAAAAAAATCCTTCCAGAGAGAGAGCCCTGGTGTTTTTACACTCTAAGTTGCCATCGTCATGATGATGAGCAGTGATTAGCAAAACAAATAGAACAAAGCAGGGAAGGCATACGGTGCTCTGAAAGTAGCTAGTGTGGGGAAATAGGTGTAATTTGTACTGTCATCTTGCACAAATGATAGTAGGGAAGTGCTTCCAAATAAAGTGGCCTGAGAAACAAAATGTATTGTCTGTTCTTTATAAGATGTTCTTGTATTTAAGAAAGTTGCTTTTAACTGAGAAAGAATAGAATTAAAGGGAGAGGAGGAAAAAACCAACCTCCAAAGGTTAATATTAGAAATTCCGGGATGTAAGTAAGGTGCCTCCAGTACTGAGCTTTCTGACTGAATTGTTAGGCATGCATAAATCTGTTTTTCTGTACATCAAAATGAATTTCATGCAAAAAAAGCTGGCTCATCAAGGAAACAGACTGTGTTTCTAAGGTCAGTGCTTCTATTTTGTTAAAATAAAAGAATTACAATAGTTAGAAAATGTCCTGTTAAATGCTATTCCCTTTAAAAATTGCTTCCAAACACTTGAGCTTTAGTCTTGGCAAATAGATTCGTAATGAAGAGATCAGCTAAGCCACACTCTTGACAAGGCAGTTTTGCTTAAAAAGTGATTTGGGATCCTTCTGTAAGAAAGGCACGTTGTAGAATTCACATTCTGGTTCACATTCTTTACACGTTGTTACATCCAGAAGATAAGGAATGTGTTTCCAGCTGCATTTGTTGTATTTTGCCTCTTCCAAGGAATTCACATTGCTCTCCTAGAACCAGAGAAAATATTCCCATCTCACATATGACTAAAGTCTTTAAGGAACAAATGGATTGAGCAGCTTTAAGCTCCTGGATCTCAAACAAGGTGCCCTATTTCGTCAGGATTTGGGAACCACCTTGTCAGCACTGGGCAGCTGGAAGGGAGGAGCAGAGAGGTCTCCAAGGGAGTAACAGGTCCTGCGTGTGCGGTGCGGTGCCGCGTGGCTGTGCCAGCATATCACGCAGGGTTTCTAAATTCAAGCTGACTGGTAAGCAGATTTGTCTAAGGAGGTTCTGGACCTGGCCTGAATGGTACAGAGCAAGTGGGCAGAACTGCAGTAGCCGTGATCAAGCAATATTAGTACTGTGGTATTTCATCTTGACAGCATTAATCTCAGTGTAATAAGGTGTTCCAATAGAAATACCTCTGCCACAGTGGTTGCCACACCAGTTAAATGTGTCTGAGTCAGTAACTGAACAGTGAGCAGGTCCAAACAGATTGTGTTAATGGAACTGATGATTCAAAGCTTCCACATTTGGAGTCCACTGAGGCTCTGAAAGTACAAACACAAGCTTGTGCCTTTATGTGACTTCACAGCAGGAGCTTTCCTAGGTGGGTAATGCTGAACAAAAATCCTCATAACTTTTTTAAGGGTCTTTCAGTTTACGTTCAATGGAAAGAGGGGAAAATATCTGTTAAAATCAGTCAGCATAACTGTTTACATATTTATTAATGCTTTTTCTCTTTTTCTTAAAACGGAACTTAAATTTTAGAGTGTTCTGCCCAAAACATGACCCAGGCAATAGGACCAATCACTATGGTGAGTTACTTTAATGGCTTCATTGGTTTCATTTGTTTTTAAAAGTTTGTGTCCTACAGTCAATAACTCGTTTGAACAAACTAAATGTTACTCCACCTTTAGAATTGAGCGGTGGATTTCTGATCTTGCAGGAGTGGTTTGGTTGAGACCCATGTGCATGCACACAAATCGAGAAAGTTTTTTGAAGTAGCAAATGTTTATTTTTGATCTTCACCATTCTCCCTCAAAAGTGACTTAAAGCATTGTGGTCCTGATCCTTCATGGAATTATTCTGACTCTGTGTGTGTAGGTAGGCCCAAGCAGCTTGTAAAATCCACATGAGATATGAGAGCCATGCTAACGAGTGATGCACGAGCTTGCCCTTGATTAGCAAAGAGAAGGCTGTTACAGGAGTGGTCATCTTGGGATTTTTATCCGTAGTTACATTAGAACGTTCACATTTGCATCCTCTGTGTTCACTGCAGTAGTTTTTTAAATAGAGCCTTTCATTCTGAAGGATCCCAAAGAGCTTTTTAAGTGTAATAAAAGGGTTATACCACCCCTGTTAGGGATTGCTTCCTTTGCTACAGAGATGCAGCATAATTTGGCAGTCCTGGTCCTTGCTGGTTCAGAAGCAGTCAAGAATCTCAGTGAATTAACCAGAGCTGTGTTTTTGTTAATCTAACGTGTACAATCCTGCTCAAAATGGAGTGTGTCCTAGGCTGGCCTTCACTTTGAAGTTCAGCTCAATCAGACTGTGAGCACTAATGCCAAGAGTGGTGTGCTCCCACTGAAGTCTAACGATCATTGGTTCATCTTCTTGATGAAGTCTGGCTCCACCCAGATGCCACTCAAGGGGCAGGTCAGGTGATAATCATGTAAACTTTTAGTCACAGGCGGCTTTTTAGCCAGACACACAGTCTGTTGAGCACCTGATATTGCTGTGATTCACTAACCAAGTGCAGCTTCTTATTTCACTTACTAGTTTTGTTTTTACTTATCCATGGTTTTCAGGCCTGACATTCCCTCCCTTTTTAAAATTAATTTGAATTCTGTGGTCTCATGGTTGTCAGTCTGTTGGGTCTGTGCAAGGTCCCTGCCCAAGTGCTATAGGCAGAGCCAGGCTTGCTTCATTTCCAGTATGAGGTGAGATTAAGGCATTAGGCCCAGCCCTTTTAGAACACTTCCTTCATAAGGAAGGCTTAAATCTTGTGAAGTTGAAGGTCTTGGTGTCTTCAGTTGCTGCATGTGCAATGTATGGCCTGTTCCCTTAGAATGGTTTTCTCCTGGAGGAGATCTTCCAGAGGCTCTTAATTTGGAGACCCTCTGTCTCTGGCAGCATCTGTCCTGCCTCTTGAACGAGCTTCTTCCACCCTCCTTCTGAGGGAGCAACTGTACCCCAGAAGGTGGGGAGCAGCTGTGAGAGTTGTGTAAATGACACTTGGTTCCCCAAGCCCAATGTCTCCTGCCTCTGAGCAGCTCCCAGGTGCATGTGTGGCACTCAGAATAGCCAGAGGTGTCTGCTGGTGAGTTGGCTGAAGTAGCAGGTACTCTGTCTGGCCCATCTGGGCAGGCAGGGGACACCGGCGCTGAGTCTGTTGGCAGGTCCACACAGAGTGAGGAGTGAGACAGGCTGGGATGGAAGCACTGTGGCTCCACGGTAGAGACTTTCAGGATCCAACTCGGGTGTAGTGGCTCAGCTGTTCCTCTGGGGCAGGCTGAGCCAGCACTGGGCTGTGTGGCAGCAGGAGGTGGTACAACAGGGCTGCCTCTCCGGGCTTGTTTTCCCTGGTAGCACAGAGAAAATGGGGTCAAGGAACATCCCCTTCTTCTTGGTCCGGACAACATTCCTGTGCTGAACTGTCAGGGCTCTGCTCTGTGATTGGAAGGCGATAGAGTGACTCAGGAGCCAAGAGGTCTCTGTACAGCAGGGGTGGGAGGGCACTTTGGACTTGGAAACAGCCTCCAACCTCAGCTTAACTGGAATTGTTGGATGTACCCAGAGTAAAGGCTCACAAACATAGAAAAGCAGAAAACACTGTGGGGAGCAGGAAGAGTTGGGCTGCTCTTCAGACTGTGTTCCTCTTGTTTTATAAGGCATCATAGAAGGGTTTGGGTTGGAAGGGACCTTCAAGATCATCTAGTTCCAGCCCCCCTGCATCCCTAAAGCAAACATCAGGAAGAGCTGAGAAAATCCTACCACAGATCAAGGATGTCCTGCTAGGCCGCAAGCAACACTTTGTGCCTATATCAGTGTCTCCCAGAGCGCTCCAAATCGGGCCACCCAGCTTTATTTTGGCTGAAGTGAGATGCTGTGATTTCCTTTCAGGCCATGAAAAATGCAAAAGTACAGCAACATGCTCAAAGAAGAGTACCCCAAACCCAAACTTGTTCCAGCAGCCATCCTGTACCGAGAGTAACTCCTCATTCCTCTTAATAGGATGAGTTCTAATAGGAAGAACCTTACTAAGTGCTGCCCAAAGGATGTAGAGTTAAATGGGAAGGGGGCGTATAACCCCACTGCATTTAAAACCCTCAGGTTTTGGTGTGTGGTTGAACTCTTCTCCAGCTTTCTCTGCTCCTGCCATGTCTTCCTTGCCAGAGGTGTCCTTCTCTGCTCGTGGCGCTGTTTTCAGCAGCTGCCAGTTAAAATGTTGGAGAGGCTGGTGCATGCCCATAGAGAGGACAGAGTGAAAGCAGGTGATTTTGCAGAGACCTCATCCCATGTCACTAAAAACACTTTGTAGCATAAATAATATTAAACTTAGAAGTCAAAGTGCTTCTGGAGGCTTTCTAGGTCATTATGTTGATGAAAAACCTAATGCCATCTCTATGTCTGTGTGACCTCAAATAATTCTGTATGTATTCTTAGTTTTGAGGACGTATTAACATAAACAAGGATTGACTGGAGGGAAAAAAAACCCCCAAAACCGGTCATCTTTCATAAATCTGTGTGAAGTTTTTACCATGTAGAGGTTGTGCTGCTGCTGGGGAGAATCAGTTCACTCTGCCACAATCAAAAATCTTATGTTAAAAACTGGGATTTGCTTTATACTGAGTTTAAAAGGCGAAGTGGTACCCTAATGCTACAGTGATTTGCACTTGTTCCTAATGGTTCAGGCTTCTAATTTTTCTTATGTGGAAATAATGTGAATTCCACTGAAATTTCAGGTGTTTGGGGAAGCTGAAACATACTCTTGCCTTGCCACCTGAAGTGCCTCACTTTTGTAGCTTTTTGGGAAAAGAGAATTTGAATGATGTGAAATCATCAGTCTGAGGTTGACACATTTGTTGTTTCTTGATTCCCAGGTGCAGCTAGTAAGAGGAGAAGACACATGTTGAAATCTTCCACCATCACGGAACAAATGGTAATTCTGATTTTAAGTAGTTCTAAAGCAGGAACCCACATCTCTACAGCAGAGGACTTCTTTAGTGAATATTTTGCCAGTGTATTCAGAAAGAGACTTCCTCACAGAAGCAGTAACCTTTCCTTTACAGCTGCCTTGTTTTCATCTTGTCATTCAGTCAAACAAAACTGTTTGTGTTTAGAGCTGCTTCAGGCAGAGCCAGTGCTGCCCTTGAGTGACGTGGCACAAACGCAATAGGAACCTCCAAACGAGGCTGACTTGGTGCCTGTGACCTTGACGTGACCAGAAAGAGCTTCCCTTTGGGGGCTCCTTTCCTTTGGAGGTACTACGGCCCTCAAATTTGCTTAGGGCTTGACACAGGTTCCATGAAAAACTGCATTTGATGAGTCAGTTGGCCTTTGAAACCAGCACTTACTCACTTGTGAGCTTGTGCTCATGGTAAACGTGCAGGTTTTCATTGCAGATGAGGCAGTTCTCTGCTCTGCTGGTGAAGATGGCCCTCCCAAGGGTGTGGGAGCTATCAAACAGCATCCCTCTGGTTGCAGGGAGAGTTGTTTTAGAGACTGTTGTTAGAAACCCTGTAAATACGGCTTATTTTAAATTTTGAGGTGATTCTCTTGGCTCCATGGAATTATGCTTGGGAACTCCCACTGACTCTTGGGGGCTTGAGATTTCTCCTTTCTAGAGGAATTAGCATTCAGCTTTCCTTGGGAAAAACTTCTGCCTTTCCCAGGTCTTGAGATTAAAGGGAGGTCATGTGAGGGGACGTGGGTGATCTTTGCAGCTTTTATGTAGAACTCTCATAAGGGCAGGTTATTTGTCTTCAAGAATTTGTCAGCAGTAAATCCACTTACATTCATGGTATTATAACTGAGATTCACGGGACCTGTGGCCCACAGTAATGTGCTGTTTCTGCTGCTCTCCAGTGCTAGCGATCTCAGAAGTAAGTAAAATCACTGCAAATAAGAAGCTGAGGGGCTCCAGGATTTATTACTGCACAATAAATTGTTTACTATTGTGTAAGCAATGCATTTTTACACTGATGGACTTTTGTGGCAGAGCTTAAGAATTATTTGTGGTACTGTGGTTTGGAACAGCAGAGGATGACTGTGTCCTGTCCAAAGGAAAAGAAAACTATTCCCCTTCTCCTCTCAAATCCTTTCTAGTATTACAGAATCACAGAATTGCCTAGGCTGGAAAAGATCTTTAACATCATCAAGTCCAGTCATTAACGTCACACTGACAAGTCCCTGTCTGGCCTAGGGAACTGTCATTTGCAGTGGGCGTTAGCAGTAGGCGTTCGTTAGCATCTGTGCTATTGTGCACATGGAATAATTAAGGAGGGTGGTGCCCCAGGTGTTGGGCTTTTCTCAAAGAGTTTTGCTTTGAAGCTTTTTTTTTTTTGCTTACCTTTTAAAAACTCAGTGTCTGGAGAGGAATATTGTTAGCTGTGCAGAGAAGCTTCCTGCATTTACAGAAATATGGGTTACTTTTTATCTTTCTGCTAATATGGAGGTCAGATAATGAAAACAGAGCAGTAAATGTCAGTATGATGTAAAAATAAGTTGTTTTGATTTTCTTACAGAGCACAGAAGAGACAGCAGAAGAAAACAGTTTACAGATGCTAAAAAGGAAAAACAACAGGCATAAAGGTGCGACTCACTTCCTGGAATGACTAGGAGATACTGTGCTGAAGTTAGAACCTGGAGGTGTTTGATAGCAGCAGTGCTGCAAATATCTGTTGTTCTGAGACGAGTGACTCTGCGGGCTCTGGCAAGGGAGCAGAAGTCTGATGTGCAGAATGACTGTGCAGGTTTTAATAATTGTGCAGCAAACACGTCTCTGTGCTTTGGCTGAGACTTGCTGTGTGAGAGGAGCTGTAACCCCCTCCTCTGCCTGGCTGCTGCGTTCAGTGGTGTGGCTCCAGCAAACAGGGGTGCCTCTGCCTGAGCCCCCTCCTCCGTATCAATGCAGGGAGGTTTAACGTGGAATCCGTTCTTCTTCACCTCAGTCTCCTTGCGCTGAGCCCCTTTTGAAGGAGAGGAATGCAGTTCTGCCAGGTGGGGCCCTGGAATGGGTTAGCAGAGGAGGTGCTGCGAGGAGGGGGGTTGAGCAGTGACCCAGCAGTGGCAGAGGAGTTCAGCGCACCCCAAACAGGAGCTCGAGCTCACTGCATAGTAACGGGGCTCGCCAAATGCTGCGACAGCTACTGCTGCCGCCGCATGATGCTTATCTTACCTTTTGAGCCCTTGGTGTACGCAGGCTGCTTAACACAGTACAGCATATTACTGCATTAATATGATGTTACAACAGTGAAAACAACCACTGGACCCATCCTTCAGTTTTGCAGAGCTGTCACCCCAAAAGTCCTGCTGCAATAATTTCTCAGGATCGTGCTGTTGCTTGGAAGTTTCGAAGGCGTTAGTGGTGACTCGTCACCTTCCCATGGCTGTGCTGAGCACACGGGCACAGGACTGTCACAGCAGGGGGCTGCCTAATGTGTTTCCTGAATTTTTACTACCAATAAAGAATCCTAGAATCCTTGGAGGGCATCTAGTGTAAGTGAAATGATGTGTCTTTCCTCACAGATGTCTCCAGTAAAAACTAACATTGTTTTTAATAGACATGGCAGACTTCTGTGAGCTGTCTGGTAGCTCTTTCTTTTTGAACAGCCTGTTGAATTGACCTTACTGAAACCTGCCACTGATGTGCTGCTCTGAGGTCAAGAAAAAGTAGGTGGTTATTTCTCTAGCAATCCAAATTTGACAAAGTAGGCATGTAAAGTGGGCTGTAATAACAGAGATTAATGCCTGCATCACTTGGAGTAAAAGTAGCTTTAATTTTCTTACCAAACCCAATAACTGATTCACTTGCTATTTTCTGTCCTTCAGCCTGTTCAGTCTGCAGTGTGATCCTGAGCATTGAAAGGGAAAAAAAAAAGGCAAGACAAGTACTTGCTTTCCTGTAGTAGGGAATGTCAGGAGGCTTTGGGAATGGTGCATTTAGAGTTGTGGAGATACTTGCTCTTGATGAATGAAGCCAGATCTAGAGCTTAGGTGATTTTATACCCAGCACAGTGCTTACATTGGCCTGACCACGTTTTTGTTCCCACTGAAAAGGGCTGAGTGGATAGCTGGAGGAGCCAGAGGTTTGCATAAGTTACTGGAAGGAGGACTTCAGCCAAAGTTTCAGTTTCTGAAGGGAGTGAGTCAAGCCGACTTCACAGATCACTTCTGTGTCAGAGTGGGGTTTTTGTGTTTTAACAGTCCGAATAGACTTTCTTCGGAAGTGCAAGCAAGCTGGGCTTCTGGATGACATATTTGAAGAGATGCTGGACACACTTCACCTGGCTCAGGAAAAACTGATGGATGACAACACTTCAGAAACAGGTATGGAGACCCACGCCTGCGGGCTCTGCTTTTCTGGTTTGTGCTGCTTCTCATGTAGGGCTCTGCATTAACGTGAGGGTTCTGTAAACCTTTACTCAGTAACATTAAATCAAATTCTTTCTTTCCCCAGAGTATGAAGAGACAGTGATGGCACTCTTTGACTGTGGACTGTTTGAAAATATACTTACAAATATTCATTCAGGTATGTGCAGAAAGCTGGCAGAGCAGTAGCAGTTGGTAACAATGGTTTTTGGCATTGAGGTTGTTCTTACGAGCATTTTGGTAAAATGACCACTGAAAATGAAAATTCCAAGGAATTTTTTTTTCAACATTATATAAATAATTGAGTGAAAGCCATTGCTACCTGAATCTTTAGAAAGACTGTATGCCAGATCTGGCTTGCTGACCTGAAGGGGGGAGGCAAGCGACAGTTTAAAAGACAGTTCAAAAGGTTTCTGCCCCAGAAGAAGTTCCCTCTCCTGCAGGGCACGTGTGTCGTGTTCCTGCAGGTGATTTCCCTTCCTCCTCCGCAGCCTCCCTTCGGCAGCCCTACAGCTCCGCTCCGTTCTGATGGGTGCTGCTCAGACTGGCTGCTGTGTTAAATTCTGCTACGAGCAGAAATGACCTGGACCTGATGGGAATTGTAAGGTGCATTGAAGGACAAGCTGAGAATGCTGAGTGAAATGAAAACAAGGGCAGGAGCAGTTGCTTGGGACTACTGGTGTGGAAGGAACTCTGGGGCTTCAGCTATTGTGAGCAACAAGGTTACTGCAGCTGGTTTTCAGATAGGCCAGTCTCTTGCTCCCATTGCCCTCTCTAGCAGTTACCAGCCTTGTTCTAACTTCTGCTTTAATTTATCCCTGTGCAAAGAAAAACAGGTTTTAATGAGCTAACGCTGAGGTTCAGTGTGTGAAGGTGATGTTTGCTGTTTCCCCTTTGCTTGACTGAAAAAGCCAGGCTCCTCTCTTCAGTCTCCTGTTCTCACATTTAAATTCTTCTGTCAGAATCACAGAATGTTGGGGATTGGAAGGGACCTCAAAAGATCATCTAGTCCAATCCCCCTGCCAGAGCAGGAACCTAAATGAGATCACACAGGAAGGCATCCAGGCGGGTCTTGAATGTCTCCAGAGAAGGAGACTCCACAACCTCCCTGGGCAGCCTGTTCCAGGGCTCCGTCACCCTCACCGTAAAGAAGTTTCTTCTCACATTTAAGTGGAACCTCCTGTGTTCCAGCTCACACCCATTGCTCCTTGTCCTGCCATTGGGCATCACTGAGAAGAGCCTGGCTCCATCCTCCTGACTTTCGCCCTTACATATTTATAAACATTAATGAGGTCACCCCTCAGTCTCCTCTTCTCCAAGCTAAAGAGACCCAGCTCCCTCAGCCTTTCCCCATAAGGGGGATGCTCCACTCCCTTAATCATCTTGGTGGCTCTGTGCTGGACTCTCTCAAGCAGTTCCCTGTCCTTCCTGAACTGTGGGGCGCAGAACTGGACACAGAAAGGGGAGTGACTGGTGTTGCAGAGTTACCCAACCCAAGATTCTGCCAGTGCCTCATCTGAGGGCATTAAAACATCTCTGCTTTAAACTCCTCATGTGATACAGCCTTGGATCACACTTAGGTTCTTTCCCAGCTGCATCAATTATTTCATCCTCCTCTCAGCTTACAGGAGAAATTCCTTGATATTGGCACCTACGAACACAAAACCACGTGATTCTCATGTGTAAAAGTTGTCCCCTCTCCAGCTCCCCACTGCTTGAGCAGCTCGGTTCTTCCTGTACCACACAATCTTATTTTCTGATACCGTTGGCCTACTTTTAGTTTCAAGGTCAATAATGAAGGTTGGTTACAAAACTGATCCAAGAGCTGCTCTTAAAATGAACCGCTGCGATGAAAACCATCTTAGTTACAAGTGAAACTGTAGGGAGGGAAGGAAATCACTGGCTTGCCTTTTGTGTGTGTCCTAATCTGTTTTCCAAGCTCTAGCTAGGAAGTCTCTGTGATGACGCACAAAGTGTAGGACTAAATAAAGTAGGATGAGTATAAACACTGTGTCTTCTTTGATCTTTCTCCTGGAACTTCATGATTTTGGGTCAACTGACATGCTTTACCTTCAATGTTTTTTTTTTTTTTTCCATTTTATCTTGGTTTTTATCTTTCACTTCTTCGATCATCATGCAAAACCTGTTCTAAAGCCTCATGCATGAGCACAGCAAGGTTACTCTGAACTGTAATTGTTGATACTGCTTTTTAAAATGCCTTTTAGTTGTAGTTGGATAAACGGTTCTTTTGCAGCATGCAGCTTTCCTGCAAACTTGGCTGCATTTAAAGCTTTTCATAGGGGACCTGCTGTTGCCTCAGTGGCAATAGGTTGGAGGTTCTCATTCTCTCCTCCAAGCAACAGTGACTTCCTTTAGTTTTGCCTTTTGTTCCGTTGCTGTGTGTCGTGCTTGGGGCAATACCTCAATCGGCTTTAATCTGTCCAGTAGCTTTTGAGCTCCTCGGTAGCGTTTGTTTTCAGGGGATCTGTAGCCGTGAATTCTGCCAGTCGGTTGTGCAAACAAAGGCGACGATGCTTCGTTTTGAAACGGTTGTACCTTTACCCAGAGCCCCTTAGCACTTGTCTTATGGAAGAGCCAGTGCAGTCATTCCAGGTCCACA